ATTTACTCGGCTGGGATTGTGTGGCGCCCTTTGAAGCTGCACTGAAACTGAAATTTGTTCACAGTGTGCCGTTTCGGTGCATGTCTCTTTAAATGCTAATGAGCTACTCACTCCGCCCCTCTCTGCTCCGTGGGGCGTCGACACAAGACACCTGAATATATCCGTATATAGCTCAGAGGCGGTCTTATTCAAATAGCTAGCTATCTATGTAGAAACCAGCTGCGGATTGAAACAGCTCGCCGGATGAGAGTTTCAAACAAACTGGCTGCGTGTTTTCTTTTCAGCTTTTCTGAGCTGGAAGATACGCCAGAAACCTGACTGAATGCTAAAAAGCTAAAAAAGTGACAATTTCATCCGATGTCCCCTTCAAGTATAATAACCTTGAACAACAGGAGGGTTAAATGCACGACAGAGATTTGAGGTCCGGGTTTTAAACTCCCTCTTTTGCAGGTTGGTCGATGATTGACAGGTGCCATTAATGGTCACTAATGTGGTCACCAAGTTGAGCTGAGCTGTCAACAGCTAGTTTCTGATTAAGGCAGACCACAGCTTTCTTGGACCTAAAGTGTCAGGAAGCGGATGCTGCAAAACCACTGAAGTGTGAAACCGCACAGATAGAACATTTCATAAGCAGCCGGAGAAAAAAAGCTCAGTGAACAACTTGTTTCCTCCTCGTTTCTGTCACAACCTGACCTAGAATTCAGGCCACACTCGAAACGGTTAAGCCGAGCACACGTGATGGACTTTTTGGCCATGTGTTTCTAACACATTCCACATATTGCACTCAATTATTTATATGCTTCAAAATCCTTTTGTGTTGCATAACAGTCATTTTCCAATAAACAGATACTCGAGGTTTCCAGAGTTCCTAATGACTGTGAAATATTCCAGGAGATTTGTCTCGGGGGGTTTCAACGGAACAGAGCTTCCCAAAGTCTCTCCCTCCGAACAAAAGATCAGCGCTTTTATTTTCATTTTAAAGTAATTTTGGTGTGTGCTTTTATAAAAAAAAATGTGTTTTTTTATAATATGTATGTATATTTTATTATTCTTCTTCTTTTTATTTTATTTATTTATTTAGTTAATTAGTTATTACATCAAGTTAAATTAAATGAAAACGGAAAAAATGTTGTCTTTGCAACTAACTGATGTAAAATAAGTTAAATAATTAAAATTAAAAAAGTAAAATAAGTTTTTATGGTTTTAGTTTTGGTTTTAAAGGATTAGTTCACTTCCAGAATAAAAATGTCCTGATAATTTACTCGGCTGGGATTGTGTGGCGCCCTTTGAAGCTGCACTGAAACTGAAATTTGTTCACAGTGTGCCGTTTCGGTGCATGTCTCTTTAAATGCTAATGAGCTACTCACTCCGCCCCTCTCTGCTCCGTGGGGCGTCGACACAAGACACCTGAATATATCCGTATATAGCTCAGAGGCGGTCTTATTCAAATAGCTAGCTATCTATGTAGAAACCAGCTGCGGATTGAAACAGCTCGCCGGATGAGAGTTTCAAACAAACTGGCTGCGTGTTTTCTTTTCAGCTTTTCTGAGCTGGAAGATACGCCAGAAACCTGACTGAATGCTAAAAAGCTAAAAAAGTGACAATTTCATCCGATGTCCCCTTCAAGTATAATAACCTTGAACAACAGGAGGGTTAAATGCACGACAGAGATTTGAGGTCCGGGTTTTAAACTCCCTCTTTTGCAGGTTGGTCGATGATTGACAGGTGCCATTAATGGTCACTAATGTGGTCACCAAGTTGAGCTGAGCTGTCAACAGCTAGTTTCTGATTAAGGCAGACCACAGCTTTCTTGGACCTAAAGTGTCAGGAAGCGGATGCTGCAAAACCACTGAAGTGTGAAACCGCACAGATAGAACATTTCATAAGCAGCCGGAGAAAAAAAGCTCAGTGAACAACTTGTTTCCTCCTCGTTTCTGTCACAACCTGACCTAGAATTCAGGCCACACTCGAAACGGTTAAGCCGAGCACACGTGATGGACTTTTTGGCCATGTGTTTCTAACACATTCCACATATTGCACTCAATTATTTATATGCTTCAAAATCCTTTTGTGTTGCATAACAGTCATTTTCCAATAAACAGATACTCGAGGTTTCCAGAGTTCCTAATGACTGTGAAATATTCCAGGAGATTTGTCTCGGGGGGTTTCAACGGAACAGAGCTTCCCAAAGTCTCTCCCTCCGAACAAAAGATCAGCGTGATGTGGCAATCTAGGCGTGAACTCCAGTGTCATTGAAGTTAAAAGAGAAGGACGATATGAGAACAGTACGGTCTGTATCCTCACCTATAATGTGACTTACACGTCCTGGAAGGACACATGGCTGAACTCGGTCCGTATCACTGTTGCCAAACTATTTGAAAAACTGTGCAGGGTTCAGTATTTTCAATTGACAACAAAAAAAGTAATTCTTTTTCTTTAGAAACAGTAAACAATATGTGTTTACATGATGTTTGTGTGAAAATATCACTTGCTAAACTTGTCTTTGTAAAGATATATTCAACTTTATAATAGATATGAGAAACGTATGTAATGGATGAAAACTTAAAAAAACAGAAATAAACCAGAGTTTTAAGATCAAATGGGGGTCGAACTGGACCGCATTACAAGAGCTGTGTTATTTTATCATTGAGACACTATTCATTTTTATTATTTTGAATTCGTTTTTATTTTTATATTTTCTGTTTTCATTTTGATTTCAGTTAAAAAATAAATTAGTGTAATTTTTAGTGTCTGTTTTAAAAGTTTTAGTTTTTACCTTTTTAGCTGGAGTATAATCATTTTTTTTATTTTTTAATGTCTATATAGTTTTAGGTTTTTTTTTGTCATTTTGTCATTTTTATTCGTTTTTAATGCCTGTTTAAATAAAATGTTTTATTGTTTTTTTTCTGTGTGTGTAATTTGGCCATTTTTATTGTTTTTATATTGTTTTTAAAAAGTTTTAGTTTTGTTGTGTGTAATTTTGTCATTTGTATTAGTTTTAATGTCTATATAGCTTTTAAAAAGTTTTATTTTTTATTTTTTGTGTGTGTAATTTTCTCATTTTTATTGTTTCTTAAGGTAGTTTTAAAGTTCTAGTTTTTAATTTTGTTTAGTGTCATTTTGTAATTTTGTTAGTTTTTTTAAATGTCTGTATAGCTTTTAAAAAGTTCCCGTTTTATTTTTGTCATTTTTTTTCTCACCCAAAAGTGAAATTTTACTTGCCAGCCTTGTCTGTGTAAAGAATAAACATATATTCAAACTTTATAAAGCAGAGATATAAAAAAAATGTCGTCATGACCGTGCAATGCCATGAATCCTAAACCCCTAAATGTCTGTAAAAATGATCTTTTCTGCTTTTACATTCTGAAAAAATGGCCACGTTCACTTCCATTGTAACTTTGATTTATGATTGTTCTACTTCTTTCTTTTTTCTTTGTTAAAGAAAATAAGTAAAGTTATTATTTGTAACACAAAAACACACTTCAACGATCTTATAAAACATGAATCATCATAATATGTGACCCAGCGTATGATGTACATGTTTTCATCATCTCAATGGCATGATTATTGATTGAAGTATTGATTGTGCTTTTCTCCAGTATGGATCAGACAGAATATTGCAATGAGGAAGCGGGATTGGCAAACAATGTGCTTCCATCAAAACATCCTGTTAATGACAAGCCAGTGTGTGCACAGTGTGAGAAATAATGGAGGAGGCCTGTCATTAATGAATAATAACTGATGATGGACCACGTGCTCCGAGGGTTTGCTAACCGTCAGATCAGAACAATCACGCTGTTCAAGCAGTCAGAGACGAACAAACACAGCAACACCTTACTGTGAGCTGACAGGATATACACACACACAGAGACACAGACACACACACAGAGAGACACAGACACACACACACACACACACACACACAGAGACACAGACACACACACCCACACACACACACACAGAGACACAGACACACACACCCACACACACACACACAGAGACACAGACACACACACCCACACACACACACACAGAGACACAGACACACACACATGAATAAAATCCCAATTTATACTCTATAATAATTAATAATATAAATGTGTAAAATATACTTTGGAAAATATTCAGTTTCCGTGACATTAATACATCTTTGTACTGCAGGACCGTATTGTTTTGTGTTATTTATTGATTTATTATTTGAATTAAATTTTTTAAGTTAGTTTAACATTTTTATATATGTATGCATTTCAATGTTTTTTTTTCTGTAAACTTTCCCAGGATGAAGAGAAACACTTAAAAATAAAATAAAATAAAATAAAATAAAATAAAATACAAAAAACAAAATACAAAATATTAAAATAAAATAAAATAATGAAATAAAATAAAATAAAATAAATAATAAAATAAAATAATAAAATAAAATAAGCAAATAAAATAAAATAAAATAAAACAATAAAAAAATAAATAAATAAATAAAATACAAAATACAAACATTTAATAAAAAAAAAAAAAATAAAAAAAAATATATATATATATAATATAAATATGGACAGATAAATGGATAGATAATTTTCTAGAGAGATATATAATTGTTTTGTAAAGCTGATAAAAACAAAGGCATCATTACAGAAGAAACGGTCCTGTTTCTGTTCTGTAACACTGGCTCTGCTCTTTTAAATAATGCTGTTAAAATCTTGTGCTTGCTTGGAAAAGGTCTAAAGTTACAGCTTCTAAACCACATTTGATTGTATTTCGCTCTGGGTTTAAAAGCGTAGCTACATAACAGCTAGAGAAAACAGAAAAGCAGTTAAAACATATCAGATTATTGAGCCATCTGCTTTTTCTATTGTCTTTTCTTTATTTTTTATTCTGATGTTTTCTTTGTGTCTACTCTAAAACTGTAACAGTCTGTTTTACAAAAGCCAAATGCTACTTGCAAAAATGTAATTAAAAACAAAAACAGAAAAAACATCATGACGTTGTTTACGCAGAAACGCGGGCGCGCGTTGATGACGCAGAAACCCCTCGACGAAAACATGGCGGCTGCTGAACCGGTGCTAGAGGAGGCTGAAGATTATTCCTTTTTACCTATTATTCACGACATCATAAAATGGTAAGACGTAGTTATTCTTTTCTTTTATGTTTCAAGGCACAGCATGCAGGAATATTTCGCCGTGTTCTGTCACGTGTCAGTACGTGTTAGCATCGGGTCTGTGTGTAAACAACAACAACAACAGCAGCAGCAGCAGCAGCCGCTCGGTTTTAACGTCCTGTCTGCACTCACCCGTCAACAGCATGGACAAAGACGGTCCAGACGTGCACCAGGAGCTGAACAAGCTGAAGACGAAGCTCCAGGAGGCTCGGGAGCAGATCTCGGCGATGCCGGGGGTCGACACGAGTCCCGCGCTGCAGGAGAGCAACCTGCGCAGCCTCCGAGAGCAGGTCCGGACCAAGAACCAGCTTCTGCAGAAATACAAGAGCCTGTGCATGTTTGACATCCCCAAACCCTCCTGAGACGCTCTGCGGAGGAACCATGGCCGTGCTGCTGCGTCTAACCAACCAACCCACCCACTTATAGTTGTAAAAGTGCTGTATTTTTTATAATTTCTCTAAAGTGTGTACTTTGGTGAATGTTGCTTGTTACTAGAGAACGGATTCTGTATACCCTGCCTTTGTCATAGTTTGTGCATTCAATTAAATTACTTCTTTTTCTGCATGCATTTAAACATGAAGTCTTATTGAATGTGCTTGGGTGACCTGAAACAGCATCAGGGTCTTAATCAAGCCATTGTTAATTAGTGAAATGACAAGCAAGTTTGCTTGAGGTCAACGAGAGACTATTATTAAGCATCCTAGAAGGCGTTTTCAGTAATTGTGCAGGTTTAAAGCATACATCTGGAATATTTTACCAGTTATCTGCAAGCTTTCTGATTAAACTGTTAACAATTATTTGTAATGTTCTCGGAGGCAATGCTGAGGCTTCATTCCAAGCATAGATTAGTTCATTTCAAGCCGTTTTTGCTTGTGCACAACAATAGTGTGAGAATCCTAGAAGGTATTTTTATATTTTTCTGCTGATTTAAAGCGTGTACACTACCAGTCAAAAGTGTTTGAATAGTAAGATTTTTTTTTATTTCTCTTCTGCTCACAAAGCCTGCATTTATTTGATCCAAAATGCAGCAAACGCAGTAAAATTGTGAAATATCATTACAGTTTAAAACGTCTGTTTTCTATGTGTATATGTGTTAAACAGTAATGTATTCCTGTGATGTGCAGCTGTATTTTCAGCATCATTCCTCCAGTCTTCAGTGTCACATGATCTTCAGAAATCAGTATAATATGCTGATCTGCTCCTCGAGAAACTATTATTATTATTATGATGTTGAAAACAGCGGAGTAGATTTTTTTCAGGATTCACAGATGAATAGAAAGTTCAGAAGAACAGCATTTATCTGAAATAGAAATCTTTTGTAACATTATAAATGTCTTTATCATCTCTTTTGATCAATTTAAAGCATCCTTGCTAAATAAAAGTATTAATTTCTATAATTTAGAATAGATTAAATTCTAACATAACCCCCCCCCCCCACACAAAAAATAGTGGTATAGTGTATAATGTTACAAAAGCTTTTTATTTCAGATAAATGCCGATCTTTGGATCTTTCTGTTCATCAAAGACTCCTGGAATAGATTAAATTCTAACATAACCCCCCCCCCCACACAAAAAATAGTGGTATAGTGTATAATGTTACAAAAGCTTTTTATTTCAGATAAATGCCGATCTTTGGATCTTTCTGTTCATCAAAGACTCCTGAAAAAAATTTACTCAACTGTTTTAAATAATAATAATAATAAATGTTTTTTGAGCAGCATATTATAGTGATTTCTGAAGATCATGTGACGCTGAAGACTGGAGGAATGATGCTGAAAATACAGCTGCGCATCACAGAAATACATTACAGTTTAACACAGATTCACATAGAAACAGCTGTTTTACATTATAATAATATTTAGACATTTTTACTGTGTTTTTGATCAGATAAATACAGCCTTGCTGAGCAGAAGAGACTTCTTTAAAAAAATCTTACTTTTCAAAATCCTTTGACTGGTAGTGTAGCTGGAACATGTATACTCGAAATAGGGTTTATAGTTTATAAAACCATATTTAATCCCCCTTTTATAGACAATTTTGGAGCCTGATTCCAAGCCAAAATAGATTAGTCAATTACAAGTCATGTTTTCTTGGCGTCAAGCGTGTCCACAGCATACGACTCATGTTTGAGCTTCCTAGAAGGCAGTTTCATAGTATTCTGCAGTTTTCAAACATATATCTGAACTATTTAGACTCTAAATTAATTTGAGCTGCAATCCTGGACGAAACCATGTTTTTAATGTGTTCAGAGAGAGTTTTGGTTCCTAAGATGTCATTGATACATTAATTGATGTGTATACAACAAAAGACAATAGTTTGAGAATCCTAGAGGGTATTTTCAAATTATTCTGCCGTTTTAATGGATATGATCTGAATATGTGTGATGGACTGTATCTGCAAGCTTTGAGACGGATCATGAAACTGTTTGCAATGTGCTCAGAGAAGCCTCATTACAAGCCAGAAGAGCTCAGTACAGATGAGAATAGTTTGAGCTTCCTAGAAGGTGTTTTCAGATTATTGTTCAGTTTTAAAGGTTATATCTGGAACATGCATGCTCAATAGAGTTTAGCTGCAAGCTTTCAGATAATATGAAGATATGAAACCATAAATATATATTTTATTTGCTCATGCCATAATAGATCAAGGAGGCGTCAAGTGTGCACACATATAAACGACAATAGTTTGAGCATCCTAGAAGTTATTTTCACATTATTCTGCAGTTTCAAAGCATGCATACGCTAGATTTAGCTACTGGTTTGCAGTTTTAAATGTGTGAGCACATAAAGAAGTGTCGTGTACATCAGCGCGCACTGCTGAAAAGTAACGAGGAAACATGCATATTCTTGAGAAATTCTTTTATTTCTGTTTTCCACGTGTCAAATCCAACAATAATCACATAGAAGAATAAACATACATTCATTGACAATAAATTGCAATAAAACGTTGATTTCTTTGTGATCAAATCTAACCCAGACAAATGTAAACCGCTGACATTGCTCCCCGTTCAGAAAGGCATATGTTCTAAGAAAGCACATTTGAAGCATGGAGTTGATAAGCCACATCACAGAGCGCTCGGACTGAACAGAACTGAGTCGGTGTTCTGTACAGGAGATCTCGCGAGCATGACATGCGCTTCCACGTCGCGAGGTGAGCGCTCAAGCCGATGACTTCTACCGCCGGTGCGAACGCGATCCATTCGGAGTCACCGCAACAGGCACAACTCCCTCAGCCGAGACTGCAGCGAGACGGCCGCATCCCATAGTAATGACCGCAGCAGCGCTGGAAGCGCCTCGGGTTTAGCTGATAACGCATCTCTCTTTGTCCTTCGCCTGTGCGCCTCCTATCGCCTTCTCTTTGATGTACATCAAGTCACTATGCACGCTCGGACGGCGCGCAAAGGGCGCAACAATGCCGTACGCGTCGCCGTCCTTGATCTTCTTGTTTCGGAGGGACTTCTTGTGCAGAATGTCGCAGAACTGCACGGACACCTTGCGATGGAGGTCCGGGCTCATCTCGTTGGGCAGTTTGGCGAGAGCAAAAAGTCTCTGGAACATCTGGTCCACGTTAGTGTTCTTCTTGGCGGAGATCTCGAAGTAGGCGCACTGCTCGTCGCCGGCGATCAGCTGCTCGATCTCCTCGCGCTGAACCTCGCGGCAGAACTCGCGGTCGCCCTTGTTCCCGCAGATGACCAACGGGACGTCCACGTTCTCTTTGGTCTTGTTTTTAAGGCAGGACTTGGTCTCGAAGATCTGCTGCTTGAGCCGCTGGACCTCACAAAACGACTCGCGGTTGTCCAGACTGAACACCAGGATGAAAACATCACCTGCGGCCAAAAGAATAAAGAGAGAGATTAGAAATCGAGTCTGGTATACTGTTGAGTCAAAGATGCACCGGTTCATAATCTGACATTTACCTGTGAGAATGGATAGCCTCCTCATAGCTGGGAACGGATGGTTTCCCGAAGTATCCAAAATGTCCAGCTGGTACACATCTCCTTTAATGCTGTAGAGTTTCCTGTGGAAGTCCTCGATGGTCGGCGTGTACTGCTCCTCGAAGCGTCCGTTCAAGAAGCGAGACACTATCGCCGTCTTGCCAACTTTGGTGGATCCGAGAATGACCATCCTGTAGCAGTTTTTCGCCGGGATGTCAAACTCGCTCTCCGAGGGACTCATTTTCTTAATCATGTTTCTGTGGTGTGTGAGTGGTTTGAGCCGGACTGGTGAAGATCAGCGCGCTGTGGCTCTCTCAAGCGTCGAGAGCGGCTTTTTAAACGCGTCTGCGCTCCGCCTCCGGAACGCGTCACCGCGGGACAGGTGTTGACCGAGCGACGCGTCAGTTCGTGTGGATGAGGTCCGTGCATTCGGGTGCAGCTAATGCCAGGAAATGTACTGAGAGGAAAAGTACTTTCACATCGTGTATCAAACTCCTTACTGTACATTATTTATTTATTTAAAACAATATGTCATACGTATAGGCCTGTACTGTAAAATATAATTTCTATTATTTACTAGGTAAAACTCGCCTAATAATTGATGAGTTCACAGAACTGTACATTTCTTTTTATTGCTCAGTTATGTATACAGTGGAGTGCTTTATGATAATATTTACTTCACGTCATTATACTCGGACTGAGTGTTTGTATGCGTAACACTGTGCTCTGTCTTTGTGTTATTAATGACTACATTACTGGAGAAGCCCATTTTGATGAACTATGGGATTTTTTTTATTTTTTATTGTAGGCTACCTGTTATTTATCACTACATTTCTCAGTAGCAATTGAGATTTTATCGCGTAAATAGGTTGTTTATTAACATTAGGCCTATAATTAATTGAAATACTTGCAGTAAAATTCTGGTAAGTTCTAGCTGTGTTTTTAACCTTAAATGCAACAGTGTGTCTTAATGAATTGAATGCGTTAATGATGCACACTGGTTTGTTAATGTTTATACTTGACCACAAAGTTGGGAACGGAAAGAGACGCGTCGTTTGCAACATTAGTCGTAAGTGTTTAACAGCTCCTGGACGTGTGAGGAACAAGTAAATAAAAATACACAAGTCAGTTCACTGTGGTTCTGCTGGAGTTCATGATTTATTTTGCAGGCTGCAGTGTTTTATGCAGAAGCGCACGAGCGTGCGTCTCCGCGCAGCGGCGCTAGCGTTCATCTGAGCGCGCTCTAGAAAGCTTGATTCTGATTGGCTGACAGACAGTCTGAGGTGTTGATTATTGTGCTGTTTAATGTTTGATGATTGTGTTATTTCACATATGCATCTGCTTACACATGCCATCAATTGTTTCTGCTTCTTTTTCTTTTTTGATTCAGAGATTCAGTGCTCTTTCAGAAGAGCCACTTATGCATTTCCTTATATTAATATTTATGCATTAAATTATTTTGTATTCTTTCTTCATTTCATGTTTATAAAGCTATGCGTTATAAGACAAGCAATGGTGCCCCAAAGATGAAAGTTGCAAAACAAATGTCAGCGTGAAATGACAATTTGATGAGTTTTCTCTAGAGCAGCGGAAAGCACGGGTGATCATAATGAGATTTTCTTTGAAACAGGAGCCACACAAAACCTGGTTTGG